ATTAATTTGTGAAAAATCTTTTTGAGATCAAAATGGCTAAATTTATGTCGTGCATGGGTGTTCTTCAGGGATAGGAGGGTACTCTCTTTTTATTTTTTTCTTTTGTTCCAGGGAAAAATAAAAAATAGCGATATTGATTTTGCATGGTTAATTCCCAGCCAAAACCAATCTTTCTCTGTATTGACTATTTTGCTGCTAAGTCATTTACTACTTTCTTTTATTTTTTTATTTGCTAATTGTTTGTCAATATTGTGCTTTCCAGCTCTTTCTATCACTTAATTAACCATTTATTTCGTGCTATTCATATCACCGTAGGAATTGTAAACTCTTTAAGAAAAACAAAAATTTGTCAGAATTTTGGAATGGCGTTATTTCTAGGCGGAGAGTTAATATTCTAGAACTTGTAGTTTCCTGGGCTACATGTTATAATCGAAAATACTTCAATATTCATATTTCTTTCTGCTGAGCTCCAAATTAAAAAGAAAAAAACAAACAAAAAAAAGAGAGAAGAAGAAATCTTTCTCCAATATGTATTCCTATTTTTTGTTATCAATTTTATTACAATGGAGATGTTTTGAAGCGCGCTATCAATGACTGCTCTGCATCTCACAGCTAAGATTTTTAATGCACACGAATCTTGAAAATGGTAATAGTGAATTTTGAAAGAATAGTTATCCATGAAAGTGTGAGGAAATAGTACTTATAATGTAGAACGCAAGACATACAAGAAAAATTAAGTATTTATGATGAAGTTACTAATGTCAGAACATGATTCACGAATTCATTTTTATAGAGCTATATAGATAGATTTTCTCTAACTGCACACCAAAATTTATTTCGATTTGCGACACATTTTTATACATATTTAATCCTTTAATCTTTTTTGTTTTTGTATATTGCCTAACCTTCAATCTTAAGGCAATGTAATGATGAATAATCATCCCTTGAGGGCGTCATTATACTATAACTCTGGACATTTTAAGTTTCCTCGAGTTCAATAGTATCGTCTTGTTGTCCTTTGGAATTTCTTTTAATTGGACATGCATTTATTTCTTCTTCCATTCTATATGTAAGAAGACAATTTGGATTCGGAAGAGAAAGTATCAATTTCAGAAAGGAAACATTTTGTTTTAGGGGACCCGGGGACACCGTTGATAATGCTAAGGAATTAATGAAGTTCTTTTCAAATTCAGAAAGGAAACATTTTGTTTTAGGAGGGAACTTGAGACTGTTGAACATCTATTTTTCCTTTGTGATTATTCTCTGCAGCTGACATGATTGATGTAGGAATTGTTAAAATTAGCCCTAGAATGCAGAGATGGAAAATCCAGATTAGCATGTGGAAGGGCCAAAGAATGAGAAAATGTATCTTTCCGGCTGCATTTGTATGCTGTATTTATCACATATGGCGTGAGAGAAACAGAAGACAATTTGTAGATCTGAAAAGGGAGTCTGTTGAACTGCTCGGAATGATCCAAGTAGACTTGAAAATGCGAATTGGGTACCAAATGCAGAATAGATGTTCTGCTGCTGAAAGAAGGGTTATACAGCAATATTTTGATGATGTTTTGAATGTGATAGATGTTAGTGGCTGCATAAAAGTTGGTTTTGTGAAGAGGTACTTAATGGCCTCATCAATTTTGTAACAGTCAGTAGGGATGGATCATTACATAAAGTGGTTTCACTCTTTGGTGATTTGTATAAAATGTTTACCTTTTCAAAAAAAAAAAAAATTAAATTGAAAAGCAACAAACAGGAAGGAAAAAAAGAAACCGTATTCCCTGTGTCCTTTTCATTAAATTTTAAATACTAGAACGTACTTTCCGTAAGAAAGATAATCCACATTACTCTAATATACTAGCAAAAAAGAAGAAAATCCGAATCATCATCTTCCCAAAATTTTTGGCTCTGCCAGTAAATAATTGTGAAGGCCGGCCTTTCCTTGGGCGAAGTCATACAAGTCTGAAAACGAGTAGACTTGTTCCGTCCCTGAACGGCAAGAAAAGCAGCGAAGTAGAGCGGACCAATGTCGATTTTCAAACCCTTTTCGAACCCGATAACTGAACAATTTCTTCATATCCTTAAAATACTCCGACTTGGCCTCGATATTCCTCAGCCACCTTTTTACCCTATTAGTTAGGGTTAGTTTGTTACGGTCGTCATTAAGCTTGCAGCTCCTGAGATAGTTTTGTCTCCTCATATCAATTGTGTAGTGAATAGGCAACTCCTCTTCTTCCCTTTCTGCCGGAGAAGAAAATTTAGAACCATTCGTCGCGGCTGCGGGCTTCGGAGGATCGCCGAAATAATAAAAATACGATGACCACCAGATTTCATTGTTCTTCATGCATAGATTCTTGAGGAATTGTCTGTCATCTTCAGCCCATCGAACCAGCTTTTCCATCTTTTTTCCGTCGACCAACATGTTGTTTCACGCTGTCTTTGAGGTTTTCCCGGTAGATTTGTTTTGGTACTAGATATAATCGCAATAGATTAAATTTTTTCTTGGCGTAATCGGTAGGTTAAAACTTCTCAGCTTGTGCGCACACACATATATATTTTTCTACTGGTATTAATGTATATATAGTAAGAAGCCCACCGCCATAGGAGATTTTCCGTTTCCATGTATAATTTCCTAATTCAGTTCCATGTAAAGTTTAGAAGGCAGTAAACTTTTTTTTCCATAAAAATTTTACAAGGGTAGTAAATTCTTTTTTTCCCCATAACCTTTTTTCTTCCATTGAAATTTTACAAGGTAGTAATTTTTGGTTACGGTGACCAATTTTCCTCGATGAACTTTTATCTTTGATCATGAATGCAATATGGTTTATGGGTCTTAAAAGTATGATACTATTATAAACTCTTCAAAAGAAAAGATTAAAATTTTGGTCTTCAAAGTTGTGGAATGTATAATTATCCTACTAATTCAAGAGAAAGTGCAATTGACGAATCAAAAGGTGACATAGATATTTAATCTTATTTACAATTTTTCCCTCTAACCTTAATGCGTATATGTTGCCATATGTTGTAACTCATACTTAAAACTCATAGAATTACGATAGTTTATGTTCTACTACCTTGCACTTTGAAAATAAACAATAAATGGATTGCCTAGGTTCAGCAACTACAACTACTGTACTAGAACAGATTTATTTTTGTCATTTCCTTAGGTATTTATACTTGCCGCTAATATTCCTCTTTTTTCTCATGTCAAATGGAAAGAAAACGTTGCCTTCGATCAGTTGAACATGTATTTTGCACTATTTCGACACACTTGCAGCTTTGTTGAAAACCTTCTTCCATCTTCAATCTTCCCTAGCTATACGGATCCGCACTCAGTTTTCTGATTAGACCATATCGAATTTATTTTCTGATTCCCTTGTTTTAATTTCTTCTAAAAATTTGCAGTCCCTTGAGAGTATATTGTTTGAAGCATCAGTGTATTGAGGTTTTATTATTGGTTTTACATTTGAAATTTTTTCGGAGAACGATTCTTTTGGACTCCATGGATTTTATTCACTGCTTTCTCTCTTTGGATTTCAGGGTTTTGTTTTTCTAATCATAATGACCACTAGAGAGTCATTCTTCCTAAACAACGAGGATCAAAATATTTTTTGCAACTTCAGCGGGGGAAACAATTCATTTGCACTTCGATTGCTCTCTGTAATTTGCTTTATTTTTATTTCTTTTATAATTTTTGTGCTTAATTTTTTGTAAGTTCGTAATAATGCTTGAATCACAACATATACTACGAAATAACCTTTAGAATTGCATTTTCTCGCAACTATTTTTTTTTTTTTAAGAAAGAAACTTCATTACGATTGCTGGAAATCAGCCATCTCTGATTGATACAAACCATCCAACAATGACTGACGGGAGAATACAATCATTAAACTAGTCACTAAACTATTACAACTGAAAATACAAAATAAAACTTTCACCAACCAGTTGCTATTCCCAGGAGGAAGGATCCTCCAATGGCATGATTCTATTGTTGGACATACAACGGAACAGATTAAAAATCTGAACTCGAGTATAATCATCGGATTAAAGCTCCAATTAGCAAATCTAAATAACAAATTTACCCTGACTGAAAATTCAAGGCCACACCGGCCGTCATTAAAGACGACTTGTGGCACTCAACAGATCGAACGTGATCTACTGAGCCACACAAGACAAACAACAGACCTGACTCGTTTGCCGCACTATATTCATTCTGTAAAGAATTGAATCAGGATCCATACTGAGGGTGGAAAATCCCACTTAATTTAATTAAAACACTACAATAAAAATAGCAAAAGTATAGAAAACAATTAAACAAAAAAGATAATACCGACCGCCGATCTGATAAACAGATCAATTTAACTAATCATATGATAATTTTATGATTAATCTAACTAATCTTTATGATTAATTTTTTTTGTTTCTGACACTGATTTGCCATTTAATTTTATGACCTTCGAGGGACAAATAAACATATCAATCATACACATCATTGCAGGTGTCTTTATCATTTTGATGTTTTGGTCCCTTATTTGATTTAGATGAGGATCATTTCTTTGACATTTTTACTTCTCATTATTGGGTTTGAACACGTTATTTTTGGAGATTCAAAGAGAGATCACTGGGCGTGTGTTGCACTCCCTCCTTCCCAAAATTATTATCCAATTTGAATTTTTATTTTAGTTTGATTTTTTTTTGGTACAATGAAGGAGGCTAATGCCTAAAGTACTAGAACAATAAATAATCATATTTTTTAAAAATTATCAACAACAACACTAAAACTCGCTACCAAAGTCAAGTGATAATCATATTTAGTTGTGCAATCCTATTGCTACACAAATTGCTCCATAAACTTTAAAGCCTTCCTGGTATTGGAATCTCCAATGCTCAAACAGCATAAAGACAGTTGAGTAGTATCGTTCATGTGATAAAATAGATGAGAAGAGAGGGAGACGAAACCCTAAAGGCTACTTGGGACTGTATATCCTAAGGCCACAGTTTCATCCATGGCTTCGCCATCTAGCTTTCGGTTCCTCAGGAATAGGACTTCTACTCGAACTGAGATTGTTGTTCTCGATCATTAGATCCTCCTCTGGATCAAAATCATTTATTCTTTCATCATGATCCCATGATTTTTTAGTAGGACAATCCATGATCACAACCACTTGATGTTTTGTTGGGTCGAGTGTAGTTTTAACTGGAATAACATATTGACGCATCTGATGTACGAATGTGTCCAAATCCACAATTGCATCAGAACAAACCGCCAGCCTAGAGTTAACAGTGTCAAGTGTCTCAATGAGTCGTGGAGAAGAAATCTTAGATGGTTGGGGTGTTATAGTCTTATTTTGTCCATTCCTTTTCTTTAATTGACTAGTCTCCCACCATTCCTTCCTTATCATTCCCAAATCACCGCTTCCCATCACCGTATTACCACCATACACTACAGTTAAGAAGAATTGTATTTTGGAACCCATTTTGTTTTATATGACAGTGTATATATTCCTATGTATTCATTTCCAACCTCACTTGGTATCCCTCTTTCTTCCATGTTAGCGGGATTCTTCCTTTATTATTTCCTTGATGATTACTTACATAATCATACATATACCACCTTCTTCGCATTACTTCTCTAACTTTTTCCTCATTCAACATAGTTTCCAATGTTACTGACTTCACTCTATCATTCTTCCTACCTTCTGCAACTCCGATTCCATTCTGATTGAGAATTTGAACCTTTTCCTCTTGCTTGTGATTCCTTTGTCCGATAATGCTTACCATCTTTTTGCCAGGACTACATTTTGTACCTGTCTCCAATCCAGTGACCACCACTTTTTCTTTCCCTTTATTGCTGGACTTCTGATGTTTATCCTGCTCGTTTGCAACAGGCTCTTTTGAGTTCCAATTTTGACAAACTCGCCTTTTACATTCACCATTTTCATGTCCAAATCCCTTGCCATTGAGGCATTTAACTAGCTTACATTCATACTTAACCTGCTGCTCCTGTAAACATCAATTCTCATCTTCAAACCACACCACCTCCTGCGGCTTTCTTTGTAATTCCACTTCCCCCAGCAGTCTTGCAAATCTTGTACTCAGTTTCTGTACTGTCATATCATCCATTTCAACCGGTATTCCAATCATACAAGGAAGCCTGTTTAATGTGGTTGGATTCCGGTATTTCAACTGCAACTTCGGAAATTTAATTCAAATTGGTACTTTCTGAATATTCCTGATATCAATTTCCTTTGTCACTGGCCAATCCTTTACAACTAATTGTCTACAATCAAATCGATAAATCTGTTGCTTGAGTATATCTAACTTAGCTGTTAGTAATTTAAACCTCATTATATAGACTCCATTTCTAACAGCAAGATCTTATCCACTCCCACTATTCTCCAAATTCTTCTAATAAATCAATTCATTACTGCAAAAGTTGGATTAGCTCCCAAACCACAGCAGATCAAAGACGGTTTCAAATACTCTACTTGCTATTATATTTCCTCCTTAGATATTGATAAGTGTCAAACCAATAATTATTAACCTACTAAAAAACGCAATATAACGGAAGTAGGGTCAAATCTCATAGGGAGGTAAATCAAATATCATGGTTTCCAATAGGAAACAAAATAGAGAAAAGAGATTATGAAAATTGACAATAAAATCCTTAAGCTAAAGTGATGATCGAGAAAACAAAAATGCAAACTTGTTCAATTATTTATTTCCACTTCAATTGCCGAATGAAGTCTAAACTAATAGTGGTGAATTAATGTTTGTCAGATCGCTAATTATATCCTTAAACTCCTTTCGAAATCATAAGGGTGTCTATATAACTAAAAACAGACCTATATTCCCATGGATGAATTAATTATGAAGTCCTTACAATTAGGTATCTCATTCGGCCACCCATGCCTTAATAGTATATTTATATCCGGCAAAAACAATAAATTTTTACGTTTATGTCATGATTTATTCTCCCCAACCTAAACTATACACTCTATTCCTAGTAATGCATAGTTCTCAAATACTAACAATTATCAAGCCTAAATAATTGCAAGCAAAATAGAAACAGGAGGAATAAACACTCATTAAATCACCAACAAATAATTTAAGAATTCATCTGGATAGTATCGGTGTACTCTAAATAACTAAACTAAACAAACTACTCGCAAAACATAATTAAAATAGAGAAACAGTAGTATTGCAGAGTGGAGGAACATCAGCAAGGCTGCTGCCCCTCTCCTTTGTTGCGCGGCCAAACCCACGAATGAGAGCTTTGTCTTGCGCCAAAAAGATGTAACCGCGGTCGAACTCCCTAAAATTGATGCTTCCGGTTGAATTTATAATCTATAGTACTTAATTAAAGTAACAAACAAAAAGGACACATGTTACCTTCACAATGAAAATTTACCCGCCAAATGGTTTTTTAGTACAAAATGAAAATTGACACATGGTACTCTAAAATTTCAGAAAAAAGTATGCCTTAGGAAACACAAGCTTCAATAAAAACACACCGCTAAATAGCCTTAAGGAAACCACATACAAAGAAAACACACTCCCCCACCCTTATGATTCCTCTTTTAACGGGGACTTCAATGGATGATTATCTTTATCCCACAAATTACTCATTATATCAATATCTCCCATACAAATTCAAATTAAATCAAATCCCTAAAATCTCTCTTATTGATTCTACCTGCCCTTATTTTATCCGAATCATTTGAGCTCTCAAAAAATAAGAAATTTTTGAGCAGCAGTCCTCATCTAAGAAGCCAATCAGTCATCATATTTTGTGCAATAATTTTATTTTTTCCTTCGAGGATCTGAAGTTGTCACTCACCGTTTCAATTTCAATGCTGATGACACTTGGGGGGAAGAATTTTCGCCGATTTGAAGTTCACCTAGAGTTACGTTCTGATTTCGACACTGCCGGAGTTTGAGTGGTAGAATGTCTTTTTTTTCACCGATGTGCAGCTAGTTTTTCTTTTCTTTTTTTTTTTTTGGCCAAAAGATGGCTGCTCCAGTGGACCTTTTTTCACACATGTAGTCCTTATTGTACTTTTTTCTCAACTCTTCCTATATTTTACAAATTTAGTCAATGTTACTTTTTTCTCTCTCTTCCCAATAACATCTCTAATCTTCAAACGAGCGCATCTCTCAATCCGTGAAGAATTAGAAAACATGTTACACATGAATTTTATTATATTCGTTAAGATATCCAACAAGATCCATATCAAATATTTTTTCTGGGCTAAAAAATGATTAAATTCTGATGAACAGAATAAAGGTGGATATTCAGTTTTACAAGATGGATAACCAGCTCATTTTAAATTGGTTATCCATTATGTTCATACTGATTATCCATCCAGTTTAAACTGTTTATCCATTTTGTTTGTACTGCTTATCCAATTGGTATGTATGCCTATCCAACTTGTTTGTAATGGATATCACTCTTGTTTATACTGGATATCCATCCATTTGGTTTGTATACGTATTCAACTTGTTTTGTACTTGTAATCCAACGGGTTTGTATGCATATCCAACTTGTTTGTACAGGATATTTATCCAACTTATTTGTACTAGATATTCATTTAGTTTGTATACATATCCAACTCATGTGTACTGGTTATCTAAAGGATTTATATGGTTGTTCAAATTGTTTGCACCGATTATCCAATCATTTTCTTTTGAAAAAAATCATTGTCCAATACGCTAATACGGGTTATTCATTCTATTTATACTGTTATCCAATCATTCTTTTTTCCTTTGAAACACGGTTATCAAATGTGTTCGTAGTGATTATCTAATCGCTTTGTATCGGTTATCCAATTACTTTTACTACTTGTCCAAATAAGTTCGTGTTACTTGTCTAATCTTTTTTTTTTCTTTTGAGAAATTGCTTGTCCAATTAATGTGTTTTTACTCATTATCCAACCCCGTGCTATTCTTTCTCCAGCTTTTTTTTTATGAAGAAAAACTTGTCCGATATATTTGTACGTGTTATCCAACTAACTGGTACTACTTAACCAACATAGTTTTTTTCGTAAAACGGTTATCCATTGTGTTTATACTGATTATCCGACCGGTTTGAATTGATTATCCATTTCGTTTGTACTGGTTATCCAATCTTTTTTTTTTTGGAAAAGCATTGCCCAATGTGTTAATACTGATTATCCAATTAGTTGGATCTGCTAATCCAACCTATTTTTTCTTTTTATTATTATTATTTTTGAATAAAAGATGATTGTCGAACGCGTTTATATTGAATATCCAACTGCTTGGTATAGATTATCCAACTATTTTTTTTCTCTACTCTTTGCGAAAATTCTTGTCTTATTTTTTGTACTGACTATCCAAACAATTTGTATTGGTTTCCAATCATTTTCACTGATTACCCAAACATAATTTTTTTTATCTTTTGAGAAAATATATGTGCAATGTGTTCATACTGATTATCCATCCGGCTTCTTGTTGATGGTTATCCAACTTTGTTTTTCCTGCTTTTTCTATGAAAATGATTGTCCAATTCTTTTGTACTGATTATCTAACCAGCTTGCACTGCTTATCCAATAATTTCCACTGGTTATCCAAATTGTTTGTAATGTGTTCATACTGATTATCTGACTTCTTGGTGATGGTTATCCAACTTTTTTTTCCTTGCTCTTTTATGAAAATGATTGTCCAATTATTTTGTATCCATTATCCAACGAGTTTCTATTATTTATCCAATTATTTTCACTGGTTATGCAAGTGGTTTGTAATGGTTATCCACTCATTTTTTCCATTTTTTCAGAAACAATGGTTGTCCAACGTCTTTGTAATGGTTATCCAACACAAATATTCGTTTCTGCCAATATTTTAAATTTTTTTCAAAAGTAATATTCGATATTAATCTTATCAAATAGATCTCGTCGAGTACTATAAATTGCATGTTTAATTCATTTTTAATCATTCACGGAGCAAGAGATATAGAGAACACAATAATATGAATACAAAATAAGTTGGTTATCTATTTTTTTAAATTGGATATCCACCTTATTTCTACCCATCAGAATTTAATCGTTTTTAAGTCCAAAAAAAATATTCTATATGGATCTTTTTGGATACATCTCGACGAGTACTATAAATTTCATGTGTAACATGTTCTCTAATTCTTTACGGATTATGAGATATGGTCGTTTAAAGAGTATAGATGTTTCTTAAAGGAGAGAGAAAAAAAGTCACAGGGACTAAATCTACAAATTATAGGATGTTATTTAGAAAAGTGAATAAAGTGTAGTAAGGACTAGTGATGGAAGAAATAGAAGGGGTAGCATGGTGCTCACGGGTATACTGGATAAAAGACGTAAGATAACCTATACACATGGGAGAGAAAAAGTCGAGAGAGTGATGCAAGAAAGTAAAAAGGGTCACGCTGAGGTAAGACTTGAGGTGAGAGAATACCATGAAAATAGCGTGGAAACAGAAAAAAAAAATGCATGCAATGAGAGAAATCAGAGTGTGGTGAGGGTGAGGATTTTACTAACCCTTATATCTCCTTTGTTCCTTGTGCAGGTTTAGAGGTTGATGATTCGAGGACGAATCCTCTTAAAGAAGGAGGGGATGATGAGAATCATGTAGCCTTCCATGGTGATTCTCCTAGTGAGGAGAATGAGCTAGTCCTTCATTCTAGTTTTGGAATGCTAAGTTTACTTTGCAGACCAATCAAGGAAGAAAGGATGATCTTGACTACCTATGTGATAGGGACTCGGTTCAAGAGAGCTACGATCAAGGTGATGAGA